AACACGTGTTGTCCTTGCTTCGCGAGTAACTCAACATTCACTCATAAAAATGTATCAGTTAGAAGACAAAGGGTTGCTGATGCATTGCTGTGGCTCATTAACAACAATCCACTTTATAAAGATGTGAAATCCAATCACCATTCTTTGAATTGTTTGCCTGAGCATGGTGTTCCACATGATATTATCTCAGTTGAGACAGAAGATGTTCATAATGAAACTTTTCAGCCTAGTTTTGGCCCTCAAAATGCAGGAGACACTTTTTATAATATACAAACAAAAATGAATAGCTTTCTTCCTTGTCCCTATTGTGAACAACAAGAAATTCAAGCTATTCAGCAGCAATTGTCTTCCACACATTATAACCAAGCCACATCCTGGCCAACAGTACATAATGATCCAATAAATGAGTATACAACTCCATTCTAGCAACATTGGCTTTCTCAGCTTCATTTCCTGATGGTAAAGGTGATCCTACAAACCCAGCTCTTTACTGAGATGTGCAGCTTACAGAAGGAATTGAACTTCTTTTAAAATATGCTGAAAAGAGAGATGGCAGATGCCTTTATTGCTTTCCCTCCCACCCCCAATTTGCTTATTGGGCTTTTAACATCATTGAAAGAAAACATATTATAAAGCAAACGGGAATATTCCTTTAACAAAATCCAGAAGCACATCTTACAATAGAAGAGCTTCAGAAGATGGCAGCCAATAACAGTGCAAATGTATCTCTGTCCAAAATGTCATGCTACCTTGCCAACATAAACAGACCAAATGCTTACTGGTTCAAAGCTAAAGAAAATTCAAAGGCAACTATAAGCAGTGTAGGACCTTCAACATTCTTTTTTACCTTTTCATCAGCTGACATGCACTGGCCTGAACTACATGCCCTCTTGAAAAGTGATGGCAGCAATACTCTAGAAAACAGACCTCAGAATATTATAAACAATCCTCATATCACTGATTAGTTCTTTACCCAACACTTACAGTAAGGGCACTTGAACCGTGAACACTTGAGCGTTTTTTTATGCATTTTTTGACGGATTATCCAATGAGAGTTCTCCATTCAAACAAAAGGATTCGTGTTTTTTGGCGCTGTCTAATCACAGCAGTGGCGGGAAAATACGATGTTAGTTTTTCATGTCAGTGTGCCGGTGAAATTTTCGAACGTAATATGGCCTACGCGCCTGCTTATTTTGCTGGTAAGTAGCATCAAATAATCCTTGAAGTTATTTACTGGTACTGAGCAGGTTTTTTGTTGTTGTTCTGCAAATGTGAGTGCAAACTAGCCGTCAATCGACATCAAGGGATCTACGACAATGGCAAAGTACTGCCACAAGTTTACCGTGAAAGAGTGCTTGATCTACACCATCAAGGTTTCTCGCAAAGGCAAATTTCGCAAAACATGCGAGTTAGCGTCGGATACGTCAACAAAGTCGTACAGTTTTACGAAAACAACAACTCATCGCTGGCTGCGCCACGGACAACACCGGTGCGAAATAAAATGTCAGGTGATGTTGTTGAATATTTGGAGTCTGAGAAATTATGCAAACCTAGTATGTATACTAGTGAACTTCAACAGCGTTTGTTACTAGATGGAGTTTCTCCTCCTGGTCAATTACCATCCACCTCTGCAATAAAAAAGTGCATTCGGGAAGACTGCAGAATGACAAAGAAAAAGGTTTCCCAAGTGCCTAAAGAATCATTGTCAGAAGAACATACTGAATACACCGATTTTTATCTTGATCAAATTGCACATCACGACTATACAAAACTTCATTTTTTTGACGAATGTAGTGTAATTGTAAATTCGGGAAATCGCGTGTATGGCAATTCCTACATTGGCAAACCAGCGATTGAAATTCAGCAATACGCATCGAACGCTAATTATACACTCAACTTGCTTCACTCTGCAAACGGAGTGGATTACTTTGATGTTTTGAGAGGCCCATCTAATGGCATGGAGCTTCTGAATTTCTTCAATGAAGCTCTGTCAATAAATAGGGTAGATGGTTCGACAATTCTGGAGAATGGTGACGTAGTTATAATGGACAACGGCGGGTTCCATCACGGACATTTTACAGAAGCAGTATTACGTGACATTCTTAATGAACATGGTGTTCACCTGCTTTTCCAGCCCGCTTACTCTCCCCATCTAAACACTTGCGAGTTTTGCTTTCACCCAGTAAAGTGCTATCTGAAACAAAATTCATCTTTAACGGCTGATGAAACTGAAATAGTGATAGGCGAAGCTGTGTCAAAGACAAGCCCAGCAAATTCTATCGCATACTTTCGAAAATGCGGCTACGTCTGATTGACGACTAAGTTATCATGCTGCTGCTATTTTTATCAGCCAGTTTTCCTTCACAACAACAAAAAAAATCGCCTGCTACTAAACTGTAAAAAATTTTTCAAGCTCAACTAGCAAAATTGACTGACTTTTTATCTCCCAAAGAAGACTTTATTGAATAGAAAATGTGTAGACTACATGTGATTGGCAGCTGTTACCTTGCACTCTATTTTTATCTTACCCATGAGAATAAACAAACTTGGGCTTGCTTCTGAACTAAAAGCGTAAATTGACAAGTACGCTCTATAAAATACAATCTCTATTGAATGAAAAGTGATATCATTCAAACTAATTCTTACTTTTACAATAAGAAGAAAACTATATTTTTCACAACGCAAACTATGAAATCGTAGTACACAAACTGAGACTAGGCACATGTCAATAACTGGATTTCAAGCCGGTATGAAATTTAAAAACACAACAACCCGAACAATAAAAACGCTACATAAAGAACAAATCAAAGCGCTCGCTGGAGAATCATCAAGTCTCTATCCAAGGCAGAACGATCCAAGTACGTTGCGGCATTTTGCTTCCTTAAACGGGGTCGCATGATGGCAAAAAAGTTCAAGTTCTTTCAGTTCATGCCGTAAAGTGCGAATTTCGGCCAATAGATGGGTGCTTTTCTTTTATCTTGCAAACGTTGACATCGTTACAAGGCATTTGCGTGCATTTCGCTCTGTTGTGACCCGACCAATGGCAGACAGCGCATACTTTTCCACGCGAAACTTTTGGGAAGTCTTCCAAGGCTTTCTGTTAACCTTGAATGTGATTTTGGCACTTTCAACTTGCAATTCCAGTAGCTTGAGATTTTCTGAAAGTTCTAAAGCTCTTCGTTCCAATGGACTTTGATTTGAAGGGGTCGCGATCGCTTCAAACCCAAAATTGGTTGTGGCCTGAGATGACTGCTGCTGTGGAGTTGTATCCACCTATCGTTCAACGCCGCTTTCACATGCTGTCATATTCAGTCATTTTGGCTCAAGGTGGTTGGGCCGACAAGCAGTTTCTGTTTTGATGTTCTTCAGCTCGGCTTCCAATAAACGTCTTTCTGCGAGCAACAGCTTATCAGGAGAGGGGAAAAACAAGTCCAAATCCTTTGATTTCATGTAAGCCAGTGATCTTCTTGAATGAAATCCTCTGTTTTCAAACTCGGGCGAAAGTCGTTCAAGTTTCATGGATGGCGATAATGATTTATGCCAGATATACACTTCGCTTTTTTTCAGCCATGATCTTGATCTCCCACCGGAATAGCAACAAAAAGAAATAAATGTACGAGCCTCGTTACGAAGCTACTTCATGATTGGATGATGCCAAAAAGGCAGGAAAAAAGTCTAAGCGTTCATGGTTCGAGTGCCCTAAATGTAAAGAACTTTATTAAGTACTGGTTATATAACTGATTAGATGCCAAGTGGCACTGGTATAGATTTGTTGAAACCAAGCTGGGGAAGTATTCATTGCCCTGGTGTTGCCAAGCTGAAAAATAATCCAGAATTAAGCAAACTGTGAGAAAGAGCACTGAAAGGCTATTAAGCTGAGAAATCTCTGACAGTGCAGAGCCAGCAAATTTAGCTTAACTCAATGAACAAATATAGGATGGTAGAAAGGCTTTATATGATATTTGCAAGTATTTGGATTGGTTGCTATCCACATACAACCCAGATCCACCTGATAATGGAACTTGGATAAAACCAATAGTTCATTCTTGTCAACAGCATCACAAGGACATTCAAAACTCTGATACTGATTATATAGATTTACTGAACACTGTACAATGACACACATCCTGTAGTTTAACTTACTGTTTTAGAAAATAGGAAAATGAATCAGACCTTACACGTGGATTTCATTTTCCATCTCAACCTTCCATGAGTGCAAAGCTAAAATTTGAACCCATTAACTCTAAACTACAATTTCTCGATACAAAGTTAAGGTGACAACCAAGAGGAATGATCTAAGTCTACATAATCACCAGCACCTTCAACTGCAAGGATGGAGAGCTAACTGTGACATTCAAGTAGTCATTGATTATCGTGCATGTGTTGAATACCTCAAAAAATATACTTCAAAAGGAGAGCCATGCTCCTCTGTTTTAAAAACTGCCTTCAATTCCTTTGTTCGTAATTGTAATAATTCCAGCAGACCCACAAAACTTATAAAGAAAGTGATAATGAAGTCACTTGGTCAAAAGGACTTTTCTGCACAAGAGACTATGCACCACTTGTTGTCATTGAAACTGTAACAATAGGCATTGTTTAGTAGTAGCCTTGTTTCAGTATTTAAACTAAAAGGACGGACGTTTGTAATAACAAGCCAGTTGATGTAACACTTGATGGCAGATATTAAAACGATTCCTTTGCAACTAAACAAAAACTACTCAGCTCATCATTTAATGTAGTTACCATTAGTTTGGATGGTTCTTGCAAAATTAAAACAAATTCTGCCAGGGGAAATGTCGGAACAGACAATTCACTTCTAGATGTTTATGCTAAGCGTGCCATGTATGTTGAAAGTATTCCTGATATTATGACTTTAAATTTTCTTAATTTTGTCCCCAAATACAAAACTGCTAACAACAAACTAACACCTCAGCCAGAAAATACTGAATCTAGAGTTTTCCCGATTTATTCTTGAAATAAGAAAAAAAAACTGTAAATATCAACTGCTTACATATAAACCCTGGCAGACAACACAACACAACGCTTGGGGTGATCAGCCAGGTAATGATGAAATATATGTCACAAAATGAAAATAATTTCTGGAAACTCCTTGTGCTAAAAAAAAAAATGTTCCTGACTGGCATGACAAGTTACAAAGTGTTCAAAATTACAGTGATGATGACACAATTGCTAAAGAAACCACACAAGAACTTCCTGCACATTAAGAATGGATGCTCTTATCAGATCTCCTTCATGGATCATTTGCTACAACTGATCAACCACAGAAAATTGTTAACTCGCATCATAACTGGTAATCAGACACACTTAAATATTAAAAAAATCAAATAAGAG